GGGGCCTGGCCGGCCAAGGGAGCTGAGGACACGTCGGAGAAGTTCAGGCGGCCAGGCGGGTGCTGCCCACTCGCCACCCTGCAGCCAGCCTGCCTGCTGGGGAAGGCCCACTGCTGAGGTGCCCGACCAGGCCCGGCAGAGCGAGGTGAGGTTGGCCCCTCAGTCTCAGGGGCACTAGGCCCAGATATCCCCGACCCTAAGGCCTGAGTTGGCCTGTGCATTCCTCCCACCTACTGTCTCTGGGCCGCCTCTAACCAGTTCAGCACATCCATTGCCTTCCTGTCCCAGGTCTCTCCAGCTGGGTGTCAAGCCTGGAGCCTCCCTGCATCCCAGAGCTTCCCCTGGTCCTGCAATGAGGTGCTGGTGGTTAGGGCCTCAGTTTCCAAGGCCTCTCTGCATACAACGTTGTTGTAGGCCTTTTCCTGCACTGCTTGGGATGGGAGTGGGAGGCAGGCAGCCTCTCCCAGGGTGTTTACAATTTCAGGGCCTCAGAACCTGGGCTGGAGAGGGTGCTGGCTGAGAGCCGGGAAGGCCCTGGAAGTGGGGATGCGAGAGTGGGCTTTATCGCGAAGGGACTGGGTCTAGGCCTGAGGTCCAGGAAAGAGCCTGAGGCCAGGAGTGCGGTGAGTGAGCAAGTAGTGCTGTGTGTCGAGTGTGGTGCGTGTAGCCGAGTGTAGGGCGAGCCTCTGGCCTGCAGCTGGAGCCTTGTGGGCCATGTTGGGAGCGGGAAGCTGTTGCCAGGACACTCCCAAAGCCCTGAGTGGCCATTTGAGGCTGTGATGGTGACAGTGACCTGTGTCATTCAGTGACTGTGTCACTGAGGAGGCCCAGGGGCAGGTCCAGGGGGGAGTGCAGTTCATCAACGGGCTGGGCTCCAGACCCCTTTTCAAACTCTTCCCTGGGCAGGTCCAGCCCATTGCCCCCAGGACCCCAAGAGGAGCTGCTCCTGCTAGAGGAGAGGGCCAGGCTGGGGACAGGTGGGAGAGGCGTTGGTTGGCGTAGGTCACGGTAGTGTTGCAGGGGATGTGAGCAGTGCTGGTGGAATGCACCTAGGGAGGTGTTCAGGGCAGTGTCAGCAGGTTCCCGGGACTCTGGGTCCTGCAGGCTGCATTTGGATCACTGTGTGTGTGTGGGGGTGTGTGTGTGTGAGGGGATTCCTGCATGTGATTTTGCAATATCCAGGGTGCACACTGCCCCAACATGTTGGGGTGCCCGATGTTGTGTCCTGTGCACCTGAGGGAGCCTTCCCCATGTGCACACACCTGAGATCAGCAGCCAGATGTTGAGCCTGTGGCTGAGGCCAGTATTGAGAAGAGAGAAGTGAAAGTGAAAAACCCTGGGGCTTCCTGGAGACTCCTGGTCAGCCCCCTGGGGCACCGTCCTGAGGTCCCCAGACCTCTGAGCCCAAGGTGGTGGGGGCAGCAGAGTTCTCCCAGGACCCCATTAACCCCTTCGTGCTCCAGCCGGGACCTGCGGGACTGGGCTGGGTCGGTAAACAGGTCAGAACAGAGAGGACGCGGTCAGGGTGGAGGAAACCCTGGTCAATCAGGGGGGCGCTGGGAGGAGGTGAGGGGGCCCACCCAGCCCGCTCCATCGGACGGCTGACCCGTCCCACCCGCTGCCAATACTCACCCCGCTGCTTAACGCCGGGACCCTCCGGATCCTTTGGTGAAAGGGACCCGAAGCCCTCGAAGCGCCAGGTCTACTGAGCCACCACCTCCACCGCCCACCGGGGCAGGGTTCCTCAGACCTTCCCTCCCTCCTTGGGCGCCGCACCGCCCTCTAGTTCGGAGCTTCGCCGCGCCCCGCAACCCGCCCGCGTTCCTATCCATTGCCTTCCTGTCCCAG